CAATGAACGTGCTACCCTAGCACGGTCTGTCGTGTTAGCAGGGTAGGCTCAAAGGAAAAGGAAGACCCGACACCTTCGAAGGGCCTCCTCTGCCTCTGGGTTTTCCTCTTTCTCCCATCTGTAATCCCTGCTCCCCTTGATCTATAAAAGGGAGGGCAGGGCACCCCACTAGACGGATCGATTCAACACACCACGCATCACATAACACACAGCTAAGTAGCAACCAAGCTCTCAGCGCCTTTTCAACCTTCATCAGAGACTTGGGACCTGTCCCTCTCTCGACCGTTTGTGCCCCCACTACGAACCTTTCAGTGCTAATAACACAAACAACAGCAAACTAGACGTAGGGACATTCTGCCCGAACCAGTATAAATCTTGTGTCTTTTAGCACACTATACGGTCCTAACGCGCAACAAATACAAATTTACTAGTTGGTGTTTACTCGAAATATCGACAATCATAAAGATGAAATCCAATACAATAAATGCGCGCATCATTATTGTTAGGTATGCAGAACAATAAATCATCTCTTGTTTGGGAAATAACAAAGAGAAAAAATAATCTCATATTATGAGAATATTAGAAGAAAATAATAGTTATCGACAACGCTACCTCTATAATTGCAAATGTTTCTCTTATGAGAACCTAGATCCGAAAAACAAAGTCCATGGTAAAGTTGTTTGAAGCGATTATATCGGGTCGATGAAGAAAGCAATTGAGGATGAATCTCCTACTAAGAAGAAATAAATGTTCTGCTATATCTTTGGCAAATGAAATGAATGAATATGAAATATGCAGTTAATTAGTGGACTATGAAAATCCATATAATTCCTTAAAAATATAAATCACAAAATATGAAAATTAAATCTCACACCAAGTATTAAGAAATCTAAGGTATAATATATTCCTGAATGAATATTGAAGTCTCCAGAAGAGCATATCCTAGAAGGAATAGTCATTGAATGACTTTGTAGTCAATAACACTATCTCCTTGTGCATATCACATAATAATTTATCATGTAGAGAATATATCTCATATAAGAGAAATATTATTCAATAAGAATGAGAACATCCTTGAAGAATTTATCAGTCGATTCTTAAATAAACACCAGTAATCCCTAAAGTGAATGTAGACCCCGAGAGAATAAAAATGAGGAATCAGAAACACCATGAAGGTGTCATACAAACACTCAGAAAAGTGTATATTGTAAAGCTAGCAATAAAGTGATCATATCCTCTAAATACCATAGAAGGTATAAGAATAGTGGTGATTTTGGTAAATGAACTATCCCCTAAATGCCAAATACAAGACTGGAATTATTATTTAGTGGTATAATCAAAATCCTGAAGATTTGTAGAACATACAATTTGAAAATCCACTAAGGAAGAATTATAAGTATTCAAACTCTAGTATGAGTTTAATGCACTATCTAGAAGATATTGAATATTGTAACATATTTAACCCCATAATCCTCTTAAAGGATTTATTATCCTGAAGGATAATTTTTATTTATTTTGCACAACTAATAAGTGGTCATGCATGAAGCATATTGCTCTTGTTTACTCTATTATAATTCATAGAAGAATTATGAGCCAACTTTTTGAAGGACATAGTATTGTGGTACTGCATACCATTAATTAAACACACATTTATGAGAAGTGTGATTTGAACAATGAAGTTTCAAAGTATGGCTTTATGAGAAGGAGCATATCTGATTGAATCTATCTTAAAGGTAAACCACTAAAATTACAAATATCAAGAAGATCATATTTGCTAAAACGTTGAAGTTTATGCATTTATCATGAAGATAAATATCTATTCATGAAGAATAGAATATCCTGAAGAATACATGACAAGAAGGTTAAATGTTATACTATTTTTTTCTAGGTGAGTTTTTACTTGAAGGTTTCTCACACAAGGTTTTTAATGAGACAACATGTGCAATGCAATTAACGAATATGATGTACTCTTTTCTCCAAGAACCATTTTTTCCACTGGGTTTTTGGACGGAGTTTTTAATGAGGCATGTGCATATCGTGATAATCGCCCAAGAATGAGTGTTGTAAAACATACGGACTCTATCCTAGAAGGAAAGGAGAAGGAGGAATCCTAATCCTAGTCCGTTTGTTTGTGAGCTCTTACCAAACAATTAGGCCTTGGCATGACTATATATACGTGGAAGCTTTATGTTGTAATTACCAATATTTAGAGAAATAAAGAATAATCTCCCATCTTGTGTCTATTTGTTCTTCTATTTTCATCTATTGTGTTGAACATGAGACACGGAGAGGGGAAGGTCCTAACCGTTGGCAACATGTTTTATAACAATTATCACAGAACTGTTACCACTTTAAAAAAATAATTCATCCAAATAATAATCGGTCAAATCCATTAATGTAGAAATGATGATGCATTACATACTACTTTTTTTAAAGGGAAAATTGGTTCTATAGCACTAAAAGATGGCAAGAATCAGAAAATACCATCAAAAGAGCTTTGTTACGTAAAATACCATTGAAAGATGAAAACGTTACCTAAGAATAGCATTCCGTCACGTTATGTCACGTTTGGAGGTAACGGCGTCGACTTCCACCTGCTGGGAGCCTAGGACGCTCCTTCCTCCTCCATCCGTCTACTGCTCACCGGCCGAACTGCTTGCAGACAACCAACATGTGAGAGACTGCATGGCGCTTGCTTACCATCACCATTAGCTAGCTATCTACGAGCAGAGCAGAGCAGCGGCGATGCTGCTAATGGTGTTGTGCGCGACCATGCTATCGCAGTCCAGGAGCGGCGCTGCCGTGTAGCCATGCGGCGCCGGTGACCTCGCCACACTGCACGGGTTCTACGTCAAACAATGGGTGCTGCGTCTGGACCGGGGTGATGTGCGGCAAGGCCGAGGCTACGGTCACCTTCGTCGGGCTGGCGCTGCCCAATCGGACGCTGCGGGGGCAAGTGGTAGCGTCGCTCCCTAGCCTCGGCCGCTCCGGGTGCTCAACCTCTCCGCAACGCGATCCGTGGGGCTGCTCCGGCTCGGACGACCGGACCCTCGAGGTGCTCGACGTTGGCGCCAACATGCTCACCGGTGGGCTGGCCAGACCGCCAGAGTCCCGAACGGCGGTGATCGACCTCATGGGCCTCCTAGTACTCCGTGTGTTCAACTTCTCGTCTCCGACGGTGCGCGTCCTGCGGCTCTCGATGAACAGGCTCTCCGCCGTGTTCCCTCTCGGGTTGGAGAAACACCGGTCGCTCGTCGAGCTCTCCCTCAATCCAGTCCCTGTCGGCCGCCGCCACCGCGAGCATGAGCAGCAGCTCACACGACGACAGCGACTTTGACAAGCAATTTTCCCTGCGAATCACCGGCCTTGGCACGAACTCTGACGAGCTGAGGCAAACCGAGGCATGGCTGGTGCGGTTCGCAAGCGGGTGCCCCAACCTAAGATTCAAGTTTGAAGGCAGCGTGGATGGTCCAGACTCCAGACAGTGGCTGCCATGAACGCATCAAGGTCGACAGCGACGCGACCGTGGTTGTCAACCTGGTGTTCTTGGCAACACAGAGATCGATAACGAGCACAAGAGAAAAAGCGTCCAGCGCGTTGGCTCGCATCCGCTCCCATCAGCGTGCTCTTGGTAGAAAGACGGCGCCGGCACCGGTGGCAATGCCACTCGAGAGGACGCTCAGGCTTGCTTCCGTGGTTCCGCCGTTCACGGCCAGCCTCCGGTACTTCACCGCGGTGTTCGACTCACTGCGAGTGCCTCCCCGCCAACAGCGCCGAGAGGCTTGCCATCCAGAGGAACCACCTGGGCATGGAGATTAGCGACGCCATGGCTTCTTTTTTTGTTTTTATCTTTTCAATTCAAGTTGTGTGGATGCGGATGGAGCTGACGACGTTAGTTTCGAACGTGACAGAATGCTATTGTCAGGTAAAGTTTCCATCTTTCGATGGTATTTCACGTAACAGAGCTCTTTCGATGGTATTTTCTGATTTTTGCAATCTTTCAATGCCATAGAACCAATTTTCTCTTTTTTAAAATGACGATTATCTGCTTGATCCTCTATATCAGTAGTCACAATCCTAATAAAAAGCTCCAAAACCTTCTAAAGCTCCTAAAAATAGTACTTCCTCCGTCCCCAATTGATTGTCGTTCTGGAGTTAGGCACAAAGATCAAGGTAAAAGCAAAAAGATGAAAATAACCCTATAAGTAGTACACATGGTAGCAATCTCTCTCCTCTGCTGTTCTGGAGCCATTCACGAAGACCAATCGCGTTGTTTCGAGGGATGTGGGGACAAGCAGATGAAGACAGCAGGAGGTGGGATTGGGTGACAGGATAAAGGTGCAGGGCTAGTTCGTAGGTGTTGGACAGCCTAAACGACACTCATTCAGGGACATAGTTCGAACTCCAGAACGACCAACATTAAGGGACGGAGGGAGTCCTTCGTAAAGATAACAGAGCTGGATGTACCAAACTTAGGGCGTGTTTAGTTCCGAAAATTTTTGGCTTTTGGCTACTGTAGCACTTTCGTTTGTATTTGACAAAAATTATCCAATTATGGACTATTTAGGCTTAAAAGATTCGTCTCACGATTTCTCGGCCAACTATGTAATTAGTTTTTTTTTCGTCTACATTTAGTACTCCATGCATGTGCCGCAAGATTCGATGTAACGGGTAATGCGTAAAAAATTTTGGATTTTGGATAAAACTAAACGGGGCCTTAGTAGTAGAACTTTAGAAACAATCTTTAGCCAAATAATTGCAAAATTCATTTTAATCCTAAAATGATGTTCCATTACTCACTCATAATTTCTCTCCTAATCTGTTTTTATTATTTTATTATAAAAACCAGAGACATTCTCCATCTTCACTTCATCCACCGCAAAGCCCCAAAACCCTCTCTAAAGCACTGCACAAGGGCCCTACCTGCTTTCCCACCCAGCCGCCATTATCACTACCATCTGACCACCTCACCCTCAATCTCACTCGCCTCCACTCCTCCAATGGAGCTTGCTCTCCCCTTCCTCCTCCTTGCACTCCTTGCAAACCCCTCGCTTGCCCATGCCAATGGCGACGCCGGAAACACGACGACGTACATCGTGTTCATGGACCCGGCGCGCATGCCGGCCGTGCACCGGACACCGGCGCACTGGCACGCGGCGCACCTCGAATCCCTGTCCATCGACCCGTCCCGCCACTTGCTGTACTCCTACTCCGCCGCCGCGCACGGATTTGCGGCGGCGCTGCTACCGGGCCATTTGCCCCTGCTCCGCGGCAGCCCCGAGGTGCTCCAGGTGGTTCCAGACGAGGTGTTCCAGCTCCACACCACGCGCTCTCCGGAGTTCTTGGGCCTTCTCACGCCGGCCTACCAGCCCGCCATCGTCAATCTGGAGGCGGCCACGCACGACGTGGTCATAGGGGTTCTTGACACCGGCGTATGGCCGGAGTCGCCGAGCTTTGCGGGCGGCAACCTGCCGCCACCGCCTGCGCGGTGGAAGGGGGTGTGCGAGGCTGGCGTGGATTTCCCGCCGAGCTTGTGCGGGAGGAAGCTGGTGGGCGCGCGCAGCTTCTCGCGCGGCATCCGTGCGGCAAACGGCGGCGCCATAGGCGTGGGGAAGAGGACGTTCAGGTCGGCCCGGGACAGGGACGGGCACGGCACGCACACGGCGTCCACGGCGGCCGGCGCGGTGGTGGCGAACGCAAGCCTGCTCGGGTACGCCACGGGGACGGCGCGCGGGATGGCGCCCGGGGCGCGCGTGGCCGCGTACAAGGTGTGTTGGCCGGAGGGGTGCCTCGGCTCCGACATCCTAGCCGGCATTGACGCCGCTGTTGCTGATGGGGTGGGCGTGCTGTCGCTGTCCCTCGGCGGCGGCTCAGCGCCGTACTTCCGGGATACCGTAGCGGTGGGCGCCTTTGGTGCCGCGGCGGCCGGCGTGTTCGTCTCTTGCTCCGCCGGAAACTCCGGTCCCTCCGGCGCCACCGTCTCAAACTCGGCTCCGTGGGTCGCCACCGTCGGCGCAGGGACACTCGACCGAGATTTCCCGGCATACGTCACGCTCCCCACAGGCGCGCGCCTGGCCGGCGTGTCCCTCTACGCGGGACCTTCTCCCTCCCCACGCCCCGCCATGCTCCCACTCCTCTACGGCGGCGGGCGTGACAACGCCAGCAAGCTCTGCCTCTCTGGGACGCTCGACCCGGCCGCCGTGCGCGGCAAAATAGTTCTCTGCGACCGCGGCGTGAACGCGCGCGTGGAGAAGGGCGCCGTCGTCAAGGCGGCCGGCGGCGCCGGCATGATATTGGCCAACACGGCGGCCAGCGGAGAGGAGCTCGTGGCGGACAGCCACCTGCTCCCCGCGGTGGCGGTGGGGCGGATGGTGGGTGACAAGATACGGGAGTACGCGGCGGGCGGCGGCGGCAGGCCCATGGCAATGCTGAGCTTCGGCGGCACGGTTCTTGGCGTCCGGCCGTCTCCAGTCGTGGCGGCGTTCAGCTCCCGCGGCCCCAACACCGTCGTGCCGGAGATCTTGAAGCCGGACATGATCGGCCCGGGGGTAAACATCCTGGCCGCTTGGACCGGCGTCGCTGGACCGACTGGACTCGCCAAAGACGGCCGCCGGACTCGCTTCAACATCATCTCAGGTCAGTGCCCCACTGTCCCTACCAAAGCTCTTGCATTGTTCAGATTCAAAAATTTCACTATCCCTACGAAGCTCTTGCATTGTTCAGATTCACATCTTGTCTTGTTGCTATCGTCTTTATCAAGCTCTTGCACTGCTCGCGCTTAGTGGCCAGATTTAACATTTCACATATTGTCATGTTGCTAGCCTGTTGGGATTTACTACTGATTTACTGCTCTGCTCCTACTCTTACACATAGACAATTCAGTTAGTAAAAAGAGATAATACTGGCAAACAGGACCTTTATCAGATTCAGTCGCGCTCATGCTGTTGCAGAAAGGCCGTTTCATCTTAACTTTCATTTGTGTCGTAAGAAATCGCATTTGCTTTCACCATCTTTTGTCAGGGTTGCACATGTGATGCTCTGCTAGATATGAACCGCTTAAAAGGCAACAGCAGCAAGGACAAGTTACCTTTTACTTTTGCTATTTTTTTCTTGACAATTCAAAAGGCATGAGGCAAGGGGACACTAGTGATTTGAACTCTATAAACCGGATCTTGCAACACTTTTTTTGAAACGAAGGATCTTGCAAAACTGTGGTGGTATTTTCAGTACTAGCTTAGCAAAGGTGTCGTCACTGCTGAAATTTAATCAAATAATTCTGAGAGATCTCAGTTCTCATTGATTAGTATTTGTTTAATTAGTGTAGGAGTCTCTAATTCTCTCCTACACTTAAATAGAGCGATTTCTAACAATATGTACTGTATATGTGAGTGTTGGGTTATTGATTTGTTATCAGCAGAGTAGTTTAGTTGAATAGATAGTTCTGTTTACAGAGTAGAATTGCTGCTTCCTGTTGCCATGGCGGTTGAACTAATGAGCTGCTAGCTGTTTTCACCATGCTGTGGATCTTTCCTATGAGAAAAGAGACAGATTCCTCATTTTTTTAGAATAGTTGATAATATACACAGTAGAATGCAAGGAAAACTGAGTTGTCGAGACTTCGTTCAGGCACAGCTCTTGTATGCTAAACTGTCAACTTCTTATAAGTACTATTTATTTTATTACTCATGCTTATATAGTTATAGTTTCTTTCATGGTTGAGATTCCTCAGTGCTGAATACATCAGTTTGCCTGCTACTACGAGCTGAACTGAGCAATTAAGTATATTACCAATTGATTACTTCTTTTGATTCCTGCAGGGACATCGATGTCATGCCCTCACATTAGTGGAGTGGCTGCGCTCATGAAGGCCGCTCACCCTGACTGGAGCCCTGCTGCCATCAAGTCTGCGCTAATGACCACCGCATACACCGTCGACAACACAAACGCCTCTCTCCGGGACGCCGCGGACGGTTCACTTGCAAACGCGTTTGCTTATGGCGCCGGCCATGTCGACCCGCAGAAGGCGCTTTCTCCAGGCCTTGTGTACGACATCTCTACAAATGACTACGCTGCCTTCCTATGCTCCCTGAACTACAGCGCCCCGCACATCCAAGTGATCACCAAGACGTCCAACGTCTCCTGCCCGAAGAAATTCCGCCCCGGTGATCTCAACTACCCATCCTTCTCCGTGGTGTTCAATCAGAAATCAAAGCGGGTCCAGAGGTTCAGAAGGGAGCTAACCAATGTTGGCCCCATGACCTCGGTTTACAACGTGAAGGTGATCAGCCCTGAGTCCGTTGCTGTCACGGTGGCACCGGCGAAACTCACGTTCAAGAAGGTGGGGCAGAAGCTCAGGTACCATGTCACCTTTGCATCCAAGGCTGGGCAAGGCCACGTGAAACCGGATTTCGGGTGGATATCCTGGGTGAACGATGAACACGTCGTTCGCAGCCCAGTCGCGTATACATGGAAGATGTGAGGTGAGTAATAAGTTGGAGTCTTCCTGGTGTCTAAGTCGTCTAATCATGCTGCTTAGCAGATGAAGGATAGGATAGCTTGATGTAGTTTGCTGATCTCTTCACAAAGAGAATCGGCGTGAAGCTCTCGACTGCAAACCTGTATTTGTTTGTTTCTTCCCTGGCTACCGGGTGTGGGTCGGTCGGTAACTCGCCGGACCTCAACTTGGCCTCTAGTTTTCAGAAGTCCGGCATGAAACTAAACTTGAGGACTTAACATGTGAGGTTTCCTTTTTTTTTTCTAGCGTTATTATTGTATGTTTTCAGACATCAAGTAACCCTGAGTCTGAATGAATCCGCCGTTTGGTGTTGCCCTATATGCGTGCCAGTGTGGCTGCTGAACCTGTATTGATTCCACACCACAGTGAATGTGACTGGATTTCTCTGCTACCTTGTCAAGTTGAATTGACGTGGTTGTGTCTTTGGACATATTCTGCGGAGTTTATTATGTTTTATAAACCTATTTTTAAAATGAAGAATTAAACATGTGCATAGCTGAACATTTCAGTTTCAGCAGATGTTTCTTCTATTTTTGACCCGAATTCCCCACAGGAGCTGCTGCTTATGCTTGCCTGTTTCATACAATGGTGCTACTGCTATGTGAAGGTTCTTGCCCGAAATCATCCTACCAATCTTACCATAGTGAAGACATAACACAGATCCCCGCGTGGTGTGCCATTTGCAGGTACTGGACAGTCGATCTGCTTCGTGGGACACGGAAAAGAAAAAGGCTGCGTGCGTTGTCTCGCCACGCCGCCTTTCGCTTTCGCCCCGGCATGTGTGCGTGTACGCCTGCAAAGCACGCGTGCTCCCTGCCAGTACCACCATCCTCGTCGACGCCTTCTCTTTCCAGCAGCCAGCAGGATCAATACCAACGGTGGTTTGGGATTTGGATCGTTCACGGAATGTTTGGGCCTGCTGGATTGATTGCTTGCCGTCCGTGCAATGCAAGGCTGGCCCAATCAATGGGTCTGGAGTCTCTACCCCGGTTGAGATGGGCCGTGTGTTAGGATAGCAAATGGAATTACCACACGGAACGGAAGTAGTAGAAAGGCACAAAATAGTTCCTCAAAAAAAAAAAAGACACAAAATAGCGACCGGACGTCTGGACGAACGCCTGTGCCTGCACTCCGCGTACCGTCCGACCCGACACGGCATCTGCACCCCCTCGTCCCCACGCGGCGTCTGTGCCCTCGCTCAACCCCTCGCACCCTCTCCAACAACTGCAGCAGACGGGTCACATTACAACATGTGCAACACACGATCTATTTTTGAAACATCTAGATGCAACACTTGCAACATATATCTGAAGACAGATGAAACATTTGAAATATGCGTCTGAAACACTTACAAGAACACCCGGAAACATTTCAAAACCATTGCAAACATACGCAACATCCAGATAAAACACTTGCAACATATGTGTGAAACATATGCAACACCCAGATAAATACTTGCAACATACGTCTAAAAATAGATAAAACATTGGGGACAGATGTTTGCAACATACGTATACAACCATTGCAACATATGTAACATCCCGATTTACTTTTGCAACGTCCATACGGAAAACTTGCAACATACTTTGAAACATCTTAAACACTCAAAACATACGGTTGCAATATGTGTTTTCAGCGCAACATTTACTTGCTACTTGGATGATTGGAGGCTCGTCGACGTGGAGCTCGATGCCGCAGGTGGCATGCAACTCCGGTGGCAAAGGCGGCCGATGCGGTGGAGAAGGCCACGGCGGGCGGATGGCCCGGTGGAGACGAAGGATGGCGGACGGCGGTGCTGGAGCTGGTGGAGAGAGAGGACGGCGGTCGGTCGGGAGCAGTGGAGAGGGATGCGGTGGCATGGTCGCGATGGAGCACGCGTGCGGCGGTGCGGTGAATGGAGAGGAATACCTAAGTGGAGAGTCAGGCTGTTGCCCGAGCGTTCGAACGGACGTCTTTACACAGCATTACCGAAATACAAGACCACACAGTCATCTGTTCTCCGGCGGCGCCGTGTACACAAATGGCTCCACAACGGCATCGTCTAGAGCAAGCAGCGACTCCAGGGCCTCTACCACGGCAGACATCTGGGGCCGGGATTTGGGGCTTACACTGAGGCACTGGTGGGCTATCCCCGCGGCCTTTTGGGCAGCTCGGGTGGGCGTGGGGTGCTGACCGTTGAGCAGCCTCCGGTCCATGACGCGCTCCAGCCGGCGAGAGTCGCGCAGGCATGGGCGCGCCCACTCCACCAGGCTCTGCTCGCGCGGCGGCCGGTTCTTGTCCAACGCCTTCCGCCCTGTTAGCAGCTCCAGGAGCACCACGCCGAAGCTGTACACGTCGCTCTTTGTCGTGAGATGCCCTGTCATGATGTACTCGGGTGCGGCGTAGCCCTTCGTGCCCATCACTCGGGTCGACACGTGGGTCTCGTCTTCTCCAGGCCCAGCCTTGGCTAGCCCGAAATCCGACAGCTTCGCCGTGTAGTCCTGAATGATGAACACAAGTGATTAGTGAAGCTGTGAAGGAAGGAAAACCGCATGAAGCGAATATATACACAACTTGGTCTTGTGGCCATGCATCTCAAGACATACATACCGAGTCCAGCAGGATGTTGGAGGTCTTGAAGTCGCGGTAGATGACGGGTTTGGCAGCTTCGTGGAGGAAGGCCAAACCTTTGGCAGCTCCAATGGCGATCTTCAGTCGCGTCGGCCACGGCAGGGAAGCAGAGTACTCTGTCATTTCATTTCCATGAAGAGAGCATTCATGCACCAGATCGTTAGGAATGCTGGCTTTCACCCTTGTCTTGGGATCAATGTAAATTTCAGATCCAACATGTTGTAACAAATCACCGTAAGCTCTATGCCACTTACAGTCAGTAGCTTGTGCAAACTCACCTTGGGTCGCCCTTAGGGGAGAGCTATGGTTATTTGGCCTTTAAGGTGAACGCAAAAATTATTCAAATTCGTAGAGTTCTTATTGTTAATATAAGACAAACTTGAATTTAAATTTATAGAATTTTCCGTACTTTTGAAGAGATGCTTCTCCAGGCTGCCCCGGGCCATGAACTCGTACACAAGAAGCCTGTGCTCATCCTGGTAGCAGTAGCCGATGAGTTTGACAAGGTGTGGATGCCTCAGCTGCCCAAGGAAAATGACTTCAGCCTGTCCAGCAAAAACAAATAAATCATCACAGGTAGTAGTTGCAAGTCAACATAAGCAGCATTTTCTTAGTATTTTAAGGAATATTTTGACCACCAACACTTGGGAAAAGTAGAATTGTCTGACCAAATGAGCAGTGTTAGTTTGGTGGTTGACAAGTTGACGTACTACGGGCGCGTTTGGCCGGGCTCCCTCCGGCTCTGGCTCTCACACTGTAGCGCAACTATAGCACGCAGGAGCTGGAGCCGGAGGAGAAAAAAAAAACGAGCTTCTCCGGCTTCGGCGCTGTCAGTGAGAGAGGAAAGGAGGAGAGAGAAAAACGGCTCTGGTGAACAGTGTCGCTATAGAAGATGAACATTGGAGGAGTCAGAGGAGCCGGAGCCACTCGGAGCCCGGCCAAACGGGCTCTACATCTCCAGGGCACGAAACAAAGAACTCTCAAAGGAAACTGTGTGTCTGAAGAGGGGAGAAGACATGCCGACTTCCAAAAGTGATCACAGCTAAGCTATAGATGGCGACACTACTGTTGTCTTTGGACTTTTGAGTAGGGCTCAATTCATTGTTAAATAAAGTACTAAAATAGCAGTAGAAATTAACTTCCTTTCCACGTATGATTATTTTCTTAATGGCATTCGCTCGTAATAGTAGAAAAAAAAACTATCTGAAGTTGTATAAGATTTGAATTCTGTTTAGTTAATTCAAGCTAATACATCCTCTATTACAAATTATAAGACATTCTAGCTTTTCTAAATACATGAATTTCGCTATGCACTTAGATATATATTATGTTTAGATACAGAATAAAAACAATGTATATAGAAAATTTGGAAGAGGGAGTACTAATTATCAGTGACTAGGAGCTGACAATTTAATAACCTTTCAGTTTAATTCTATTATTTTCAGTACAGTTTCGTTGCAAAGTCAATAAGTGCTTAAATACTAATACAATACTTTCTCAGTTTCTAATATATAATCAATATATGACAGGATAATTGACTTTTTTTAATTAACTAGTTTATCTTAAGTGTCATATATCTAAAGACAGATTAAAGGAAGGGGAGTACCGAGAACAGGGCCAACAGTTCAACTTCAACATTACTGCTTAGTACTCTCCAGTCTCCCGTCCCCCCAAAATGTATTTTTTTACTTTTCAATGGGTCAATCAATTTCAAATTTGATCAAATGTGTTTAAAAAATACTAATACCTATGATGCATGTGTATCATTAGATTAATCATAAGATATATTTTACAATAAACCTATTTGGAGTGTAAATGGTGGTACTTCTCTATAAACCTAATAAAATAATAAATAGGTCCAAGTGTTCCAGCTGATTAGTTCAAATATACTATTACCTCAATTATTATTGGATAAATAAAAAACACTAAAAAGCCAATCCTTTTACTACTCTGGACTGAAGTGCTCAACTACCGATGGCCAAACCAAAACCATTATTCAGAAGTAAAAGAGACTATTACAACTACTCGTATTTGCGAAGTGTTAGTTTTACTTTCAACGAGGGATCGGAATTCTGCAACGAATGAAGATGAATTCAGAAGAATAGATTAATCGCTATTCTCTGTCAAAGAAAAAATCTGCGAAACTAACCCGATGGAATCAGATTGTTCGCGTGATTCAGAAACTTGCTTACCAGCCACTCCTTGTGGCCCTGGGAGCCCTCGAGGTCGAGCAGCTTGACGGCGACGGCCTGCGGCTGCCGCAAGCCGGGCCTGACCCGCTCGTCGACGCGGCCCTTGTACACGGGGCCGAACCCGCCCTCGCCGACGAAGTTGCTCATCGAGAAGTCCCGCGTCGCCACCCGGAGCTCCTCCACCGTGAAAGCCAGCACGTCGGATCCCGCCAGCGACAGTGATAGGTCCTCTGGCGAAGGCAGCGGCGCTGGTGCGGGAGGCCTGGAACTGGAGGCCACCTTGGCCGCGTTCTTGGACCCGGAGCCGGAGCCGGAGCCGTCGCTAGAGCGGTCGGCATGGGAAGAACTGAAGCAGCCGAGGCCGAACAGCGCAGACCACGACGACGACGACGACGACTTGGGCTTCCCCATGGCCATAAGCGCGCGTGCGGGCAGCTGATCAAAGTTGAGGAATATCGTGTGGAGGAGTCGTTTGTGTCTAAGAGCTGGCAGCCGTGTCAGCCTGTCTGGGGTGGCCTCGTTTATTTGGAGTAGTTGCTGTCATCATCATCATCAGTTAATTTATCAAACTGGTTTATTTAGTTTGGTTTGGTTCGGTTCGGTCAGTTGCGTACTTCCAGCTAGAGGTTTGGTTTTAAGCCAGGCTAATTCGCTACTACGGATTTGAGGAACTCAAGTTATTATTAGTTTATTAACCTGTGCTCTCGGCTTAAAATTTTATAGACATAGATATACATCATTAGTTATCGTTTAATACTTCTGTCTAATAAGATAGGGAATGGCTGGTGGCTCCGATGGATAGGATTCCATCGGACAGTAACCTGGGCACACTCCCACGGAACGGCCCATCAGAAAATGCCATAGCACGACCCTAGCTTCGGCCGCCAGCCCGTCCGCACCTGCCGCTGCGCCGTTCGCTGCTGCACATGTCCGCCCCCATCCGCCTCGCCCCGCCCCACACCGACCACTCCTTTCCCCTGACCTCCTCCTCCTCCTCCTCCTCTCTCTCTCTCTCTCTCTCTCTCTCCGCGTGGGCGAGACCTGGGAGCCGGGATGAGGATGAGCCGCGCGCCCCTTCCCCCGACGTCTGGGCCGTGCCCCCATGACTCTCTGAACATACATCTGAAAACACGAAACACTTGCAACATGAAACGCTTGAATGCAACATACATCTGAAGCGGATAAAACGTTTGGAACATACACTTGCAATATGTGTGTGAAACATATGCAACATGCAGATAAAACACTTGCAACTTATAATATGACAACACTTATTGCAACATAAGACTGAAACAGCTGAAACATTTCGATCATACTCTTGCAACATATGTGTGAAACATGTGCAACATCCAGATCAAAACGTTTGCAACATATGTCTGAAACAGATGAAATATTTTAAACAAACGCTTGCAATATGCCTCTGAAACACTTGCAACATGCCTCTGAAACACTGGTAAAATATGCAACATCTTGATCTACTTTTGCAACATCCATATGAAACACTTGGAACGTACATCTGATAACATCTGAAACACTTGAAACATGCATTTGCAACATAGGGGGAGGGAGAGGCCTGGGCCGGTTGATTCCGGCCTTGGAGTGGGAGCTGGCACTGAGCATTAGTCCACTAGTTATCATTCAATTACCAAAACCAAACATAGGGCTTCCAGTTGCATAACTCATTTGCGGTAGAGATAGCAACACTTAGTAAAACCTTAGTTGCACATCTAGACTGATTATATCTTTGCATAGGTTTTGTTAAGAAGGAAATAGAGGACAAGTTAGAGTAGAAGATTTTAGAAAGCCTAATTCACACTCTCTTAGGTGTCATGGTCCCTTCAAGCTCGACGGTGGCAAGCTAGGACTTGTAGTTGGAACTGAAACTTCCACCCTCGAACCCATCCCCTTGTTGTTGCACATCCAAGCCTGCATGGTAGACGATGTTGCGGTAACTGATTTATGATGTTGTATTCATTGTTTCTCTATGTTGCATGAGACATTTGGGATGTTGCAACATATGATTTTTGAACGTTGCAATAAATTATTCATGTGTTGCAAAAACTAAGTTTTGATGTTGTGTTACCTTTTTCTCCCAGTGCTGCAGCAACCTATGAGTTTGAGCTTTTTCTCTGTGTTATCACAAGTGAATTTAGGTGTTGGCATTACCTTTTCCAAATGATGCAACAATGAAAAATGATGCAACAATGACGTATTATAACTAAGTTTTGATGTTGGCATTACCTTTTCCAAATGTTGATTTTGTGATACTGCAGTCGACAGTTTGTGATGTTGCTTACAATACATGATCTTTTTTTATGTTGCACGAGAATATCGAGCTTCAGATACTTTCCATCGTCGAATTTGTGATGTTGTAGTGGATAGTTTTGATGTTGCAGTACATGATCTTTTACATATTGCATTAGGCAGTTTGTGATGTTGCATAAGATGGTTTTATATGCTGCAAATTTGGTGGCAATGTTTCGGTAGAAGTTTTTATTTTTTTTCTACATTTGAAGATTAAACGATATTACGCAACACACGTAACATATCAGTAATGTTTTGCAGGGAATTAAACCATCCGGGCGGTAACCGCCCGGCCCCTGGAGCTTCCTTAAAGAAAACGATTTTAAGCTGGGCAGAAGCCAGTAGCCATCCACTCACAATTTAGAAGAGTATTAATGACTAACTGACTTTAGTTACGTCTGATCCACTTGGTTTACAGTCTCGGACTCTCGCTGTTGTCTGTATATAGCGACTTTATTAGAAGTTTGATTGACATATGTTGTCGTACATTGGTCATATGGAGAGTGACATCGCTGCCGTGTCATTGTCACCGTCTAGCTGCGATTTAATATTTCAATTTACAAGAACAAAAGGGCCTCACTTGATCTGTTTCTTTTTTATATACTTAATAATAAGTTAGTATTAAAGACAAAGGATCATTTCATGCATTTTTTCCCCTTCCGACAATGCTCTCACACCATCTGTCCCTGTATTCTTCTACTCCCTCTATTCTAAATTATAAGACGTTTTGTCTTTTCTAGATACATAGCTTTTGCTATACACTTAAATATACCTTATGTCTAGATACATAATAAAAGAAATGTATTGAGAAATGACAAAACGTCTTATAATTTAGAACGGAGAGAGTATGTCTTTTTTTTTTACTTTTCACAATGCACCCACATCCTCTATATCCCATTAGATCCAGGTTCACAATCTATACTCATACAAGTTAGAACAACTCACATCTGGCAATAATACTACATTATATTCCAAAATATGTCAAGCAACGGTATAAATTTTGATTTCAAGACGTATTATAACAAATCATGGATCAGTTGAATAAATCTCTAAGCCATAAATTGTTCAAATCACCATGCAACAAATTATGGAGTCCATGCAACATATGTACATGTTTGCTAGTAACTCTCATGGGTGCTTTATGACAGGTAAGAATTACCAACATACTACAATGGTCTTGCGCACTCTAAATTAAAATCACGTGTGTCCACAATCCACATAATTTGGCTAACACAAATTTATACTTCAAGAAAAACATGATACTTTTGTGTCATTACCGCTATACTTCTGTTGTCATCTTTATGAACTTTGTCGGACCTATCAAACTTATGCAATGTCCAGGTCAGGGATAAGGAGAAATACCACAGATATATTCCAGTTTTAGTAATATAAAGGACTTCAGCATAATGATGACTAAAGAGAATGGATCTTAGATTTGACAGCAACCTATAAAGAATGTAGTCTACTTCAACACTTGGGGCAAAAATAAAAACAAAAACACATATGGTGGAATGAATATTAGCACCGATTGAATAAAAAAGGATGGGTTATAGTTATCACCGACCTATCAAATCTTCTAAGTTCACTACCGCGGCATCACTGTTTGTTACCAAAGCAAACCTAGGCAATTCATCGAGACAAATAAGATGGCTGAAGGTGCTGAGTCAAGAACTGAGCAGAGTGAACATGACGAAGAGATGAGGGCATTTCGATGTTTGATATGTCAACATCTGGTACTTCCTCTGCGATTTCCTCAGTCGTGAAAGGAATGCTGCAATTGGAAATTAGGAAGGATCGACTAGATGTAAGTTTTGAGTGCATGAATCATGCAAAAGATTAAGACAGAACAATATGTAAGTTCATGAACTGAAGCTCCAGGGACAACTAACCTTAAGTCATCATCTAGAAGAAATGAATTAGAGACAGGATTTTGCATGTCATTACTCACCATGTCCCTCATTCTGGCAACAACCTGCAAAGAACACACTGAGTTAGCTGAAAGCAAGAAACATGACTGCATGTCACAGAAGAGAAGATGAGAATGTACCTCAGCTGATACACTATGAGAACCATATTTGTCGTCCCAGTACATCGTACATAGACGATATATCTGCCTCACACTTAATGCCTAGGAGAAATCATTGAATCAAGACAAGGGTTTTCAATTGTTGGAAGGATAATTCTATCAATGCCTAACTTGTACCATATAGGAATAGCACTATTGAAATTTGTCCATACCGGGCAAATATTTTTCTTAATCTGCTCAAGGGTCTTTTTGCTTTTCTGTGGAATGATCTGCAGTACATAGTGTATGAGAAGAAAACATAAAAACAACAACAAAATCTAGCTATCTAGAATGAATGAATTATACTAAGTTTTACCAGGAAGTCAACCGCTTGCCTAATGAACTGCAGCTCATCCCAAGCTGCACCTGCATGCTACAAGGTAGAAAAGAATAGGTGCACTGTTGAATGCTGATCAAGATACAAATGAGAGAAAGGCCTGCTGCGAACCTCTTCAGTGTCCACGATCCATTTCTCTAGCACACAAAGCCCAGATTTCACATATTCTCCATTTGAAAATGTGCAACATTCTCGTCGTAGGAGCATACTGCAGATTAGAAAAAGGAAAACTAAATCAAAAGTTTGTAAACCTGAATGTTTTTTTCTGAAATATAATTGATATGCACAGCCTGACCTATTGAACAACTGCACATTAATGAAGGAGAAAACTTGAGTTACTAGCTTGCGGGTGAAAAAAGAAGGCACCTGTATGAAGATTTGATCTGAAGATCAGTTAAGAGTGAATAGATCATAAAGAATACAAACTACTGAGTTAAGAACTGTGGGTTTCCTAAAAATATAATAGCAATGGACAGGTGCAAAAGAGGCCGTTAAGTTCAAATGAAAAATTGGACCCAAGCTTCTCTAGCATTTTGCTTCGACGCAAATGGGGTTTTGAAAAGCGCAAATTCTGTTCATTCAACAAACATTAATCAAATGGACCACCTTTCTTATTCCCAAAATGACCACTCGACAAGAAACCCCCAAAACAGTTAGCGGACTAGAATACAGCCAGATTGGATTCTTTTTTTTACAGTTTATTTA